CTCCTGCACGTGGGGTCTCTGACTCTTTCATGTCTGCAGGGTTCCCATACACATGCATGCATTATTTTCTCTTGCTAACTTGTCTCATGTTTATTTGATTATTAGACCAGCTGAAAGAACCTGGAGGATAGAAGAAAGTTTGGTTGTAGGCAGCGGTTTCTGCTCCAGGTATTAGACTAGTGGGGTCTGACTAGAGTTCAGCAAACTTGGTACTTAAGTTGTGGCTAGGAAAGAATTCAGAGCCAAGACCCAAACTATAAGAGAACATTTCTTTGGTAAATCACAGAGGTAGAAAAAAATACTTCATAGAAGAAATGGGCTTAGTAAACAAGTTACAGAGGTAAAGGAAGGGCCCTTGAAGCTTGGGAGTGAGGAAGTTAATGATAATGTGCCTGAGGGGTGGGGGTGAGGGAAGTGAAAGGGAAAGACAAGGGCATGCTCTCTGGAGGGAGAGCACACTGGGCCCTCCCTCCTAAGGGTTTTAAAGGTGGAGACTTAGGGGAGGTCCCAGGGGAAGAACTTAATAGAATATTTAGCAATTTTCCTGGTGTGTCCTTTCAAGGGGTCATTATTCAATGCAGCTGGTCCTGAGGCAGCCACAGCACCACTTGTCTGGTTTTGTTGCCTTCCTGGGCCTGGAGCTGAAATACACCTGAGGCCTAGATGTTATCTATAGGAAGGAAAGCTCAGGGGGTCCAAACTACCTGGTCAGAGATAGGCTAGGGAAGGAAGGTCACCTTGGGGAAAATGTCTTGTCCTACAATTGTCCTTTGCTAGGCAGCCAGGCCTTTCCATCCTGGTGACCTTCTGTACCCGGCCCATCCTCCTTGCTCTGCTCATGTCTGTCCAACTGCCTACAACAATTATGCATAGTTACAAATATTTTTTTCTTCTGCTGAGAATTTTTAAGATCTGCCATCCCAGCCACTTTCAAAGAGGTGATACAATATTATTGACTAGTCACCATGCTGTACATTATATCCCTATTACTTAGTAATTTTATAACTGAGACTTTTAAAAAAACATATGTTCTTATGCATTGTTATTATGATGTATAACCAAGAGAGATGTCATGGTACAGTGACACATTTAAAGTTAATAACAATGTAAGGCAATAATATAGAAATTGTTATAAGGAAACAAGAGTAAAATTATATGTGAGATAAGCAATAAATATATTATTTCAAATTAATGTTAATGAATTAATAGGCAATGCAGATTATAATCTGTATTTTATTGACTATACTCATCAATATAAGTCAGAGTACTAAGCTAATGAGGAATTGTATAGTTTGGAAGAATCAATGAACAAATGAAGAAGATATTACTGGATAATATAGCGCTAGCAGCTGGCTGCTTTTCCTTTCTTTAAAATATCTTCAAGTTTCAATGAAAGACATAATATTGGTCCTAGTAAAACACTTCCTCAAATATGAGTTTTATGACATGTTGTTGCAGATAAGCTGCCAGGTGGCATTTGAGAATTAATCAGCTGGGCACTCAGAAGATTCAGAAAAGTAGCCTTTATTTGCAGATGCATTAGTGTCATGACTCAGGGGAGTCAGTCGCCAAATCCTGAGAAATGAATATGGACGAAGCGTTCCCTTTATACCCTTAGGTGCTTTGTCCCCCAAATATGGATCAGGCTTCTGGACTTTTCACAGGCTTCACAGCCCCCTATCAGTTGGGATGGGGGAAGTGAGATCACACCCAGAGGCTTGCCAGCACTGGCGCCAGCCCCTCCTGAGTTATATATGGTTCATGGGTTATGGCCTCTCTAAGATGGGAATATTCTGGCAAACCGGTTCGGCAAGGCAGGACAGGCATCACAGATAAGAATGGAGTTTATTGGCAAGCAAGAGTCTGCGTCAGAATGCAAGTTACTGGCACAGATTCAGATAGCCAGCCCCCCAAATGTCTTATTTTCCCTTTCAATGTTTTACTCTAAATAAATGTGACTCTCAGTATATCTCATATAGTATGAAATTAAATATATTTAAGTACAGATCATAAGTAATTTATACTAGTTCTACCTATGTAAATTTGTCATGTCATATTAATCAATTTCATAGTTCACAATATGTGGTCATTAACTATCATCATAGGAGAAAATTATAACTTTTCCTAAAACAATATTCTGAGAAATTATTCCCAATTTATACCTTTTTACAGCATATAATATATTAAGTAACTTTAAATATATATGTATATGTCTGTGTATATATATATATTTCAAAAATGCTTTATATATGTTTTAAAAATATCTTTTAAAAAGAACTAAAGATAAGAATTAAGAGATGGACTTTACTTCCTCAAGAGAGCTGTACTGTTTAAGATCTTTCTTACATTATTTTTTTCTTTAAATAGAAAAAATGTTTAAATTTCAATGAAAAGGAAGTTTCTACTTGCATGACGGTTTCTCTCTATTTAAAGATGCTAGTAATTTTCACCCAGAGCTTTCATGCCATTCCCATGCTATCTCATCAGCTAGTCAATAAAGAATTATGTTCAAAGCTGTAATTCCTTTCTTTTTCTAAATTGAGCGATGACTCACACTTTTGTACTGTAGGCTTTGATTTGTCAAACACAAATCCAGATGTTTAGTATTTTTTTATACAGGTTCTTTAGTATTGCATCTATTTTCCACTTTGAATCAGCAGTGTAGCACCCAATGGACATGAAGATAAGTCATATCTGCAGTAAGGTTTTTATAATTTCTCGTATTAAATGAAAAAGTCCTTTCATTTCATGTTTGCTTACTTGAGATATGAAAAACTTTAATAATTTCACAACATATTTTTGTAGTGGCTATGTTAATTATAATTTGTAGAAGTTTTGTTAAGTAGCATATGTTCTTTTTATAAATTACTCATCCCTTAATGAACTGGAAAATTGGACTAATGAACTCACAGTATTTTTAATTACTGTGTTTCTGAATATGTGTACACTCTTTATGCTTCCTTTTAAAAGCTCTAAAAAGAATATTAAGCAAAAAAATTATAAAGAAAAAAATGAAGATAAAAGAAGAAATTAATGAAACAAGATACAATACAAATGAGAGCAATGACAATGCTAAGAGATTAATCAAATTGATAAAATTCTTTAAAACCTAATAGAAAAAGAACCAAGATTATAATCTCCAAAAATCCTAGACATGAAAATAATTGAAGTATTTATCTTGTTTTACCAATGAATTTGACTATATTAGACAAATTTCTCAAAAATCCTAAAACTCATACAAAAATAGAAAATTTGAATATTATATATAGTATAAAAGTAAATCTATTATTTTCTTTAAAATTAAAGAGAAAATCTGATGTCCAGATGGCTTCCAACAGATTTATTCCATATCTTATAGAAAGAAGTAGTTTTAATGTGATTTTTAAATTTTAGATAAGATGAATTTTATGTGGCCAACATAACTTTCATACCAAAAGCTTAAAAAAACTTTATAAAACCCAGAAAGAACAAACTGATCAATAGAGCTTATGAACATGGATGCAGAATCTTTAACAGCATATTAACAGATCAAAGTAAATAACATATAGCTGAGGAGGAAACTGGTCTTGCAAGGCCTGTCAGGCCCTAAAATCTGAACAATACACTGCCCTGGGGGTTGGGGGAAGGTCGTTATCACTGGCCCCAGGACAGATAATTAGATATGACCTGGGAACCCCCAACACCTGGGGTCTTTCCTGTAAGTCCACAAGGGGGCGGAACCATATCTGCAAGACAAAGACCCCAGGGGATATATATATAGACAGGTTCTCTGCATGTTTCTTCACTCTGATTTGGAAATTATTCGCGGAGTCCACTAGTGTTAATAAACTGCATCTCTTCCTTTCTCAAGGAAGTGTGCTTGGTATTTCTTGGTATTTCTTTGCTCTTCTGTAGCATAACAAGAATAACATCCTATCTAATAATAGAAAAGCATGGTAATTAACCGTACCTCTGACACACTTCCCATTGGCTAATCAGAGAGATATGCAAATTAATTCCAACCAAGATGGTGGCCGACAGCCAGGCAGCTGAAGCGAACAGGAGGCTTGCTTGCTCCAGTGATGGAGGAGCCAAGGTTCCCCGACTGCCTTGCTGGGCTCTGAGCTGCTCTCTAAGAAACAATGTTGCAATTATAGAAGCTAAACAAAACCCAGATACCTGCTTTCAGCCATCAGAGCTGGAGTGAGCAGGACTGAAACAATGTTGCAATTATAGAACCCAAACAAACACTAGATTCCAGCTTTCAGCAGCTGAGGCCTCAAGCTGGAGCCGGCCTCAGAGCTAAAGCTGGCTCTCAGCTCCAGTGACAGCCATAGAAGGTAAATAAATCCCAGAATAAAAGAAAAAAAGGAGAAGTTGGGAGCTTCAGTCGCCCGCCAGCCTGAAAACGTCCTTCAGCCCCTCACCCAGACTGGCCAGGCACCCCAGCAGGGCCCCCACCCTGATCCGGGACCCCCTTCAGGCCAAACCAGCAGGCCCCCACCCGTGCACCAGGCCTTGGTCCTATATAGTAAAAGGGTAATATGCAAACTGACCCTAACAGCAGAAAGACTGGGAATGACTGGTCACTATGACACACACTGACCAACAGGGGCAGGCGCTCAATGCAGGAGCTGCCCTCTGGTGGTCAGTGTGCTCCCATATGGGGAGCTCTGCTCAGCCACAAGCCAGGCTGATGGCTACCAGTACAGCAGTGGTGGCAGGAGCCTCTCCTGCCTCCTCAGCAGTAATCAGGATGTCTGACTGCAGCTTAGGTCTGCTCCCTGCTGGCAAGCCGGCATCCCTCAAGGGCTGCCGGGCTGCCAGAGGGATGTCTGATTGCCATCTTAGGTACAATCCCCTGGGGAGCAGGCGTAAGCCAGCAAGTGGTCACCCCTGAGGTCTCCCAGACTGCAAGAGGGCACAGGCGGGGCTGAGGGACCCCCTACCCCCGCGTGCCTAAATTTTTGTGCACTGGGCCTCTAGTATGATTATAAAAAAGCTTGTTTATAGGCCCTGGCCTGGTGCTTAGTTGGTTGGAATGTCATCCTGTATACCAATAGGTTGCAGGCTGGAATGCAATGTAACTGGTTTTGGGCTCCATCCCCTGTCAGGGTGCATTTGGAAGGCAATCAATCTCTCTCTCTCTCTCTTCCATGTTTCTCACATCAATCTCTCTCTCTCTCTCTCTCCTTTCCCCTATTTCTAAAAGGCAATAAAAATATATTCTCAGGAAATAATTAAAAAATCTGTTTTTTTATAATTAAAAAAAGTAATTTATTATTATTTATCATTTTAAATATGCTGTGTAATTTGTTACATTAACAGGTAAATGAAGAACTGTCATATGATCACCAAGACATAAAAACATGACGAGAAAGCCAGCATCCATTGTTGATGGGAGAAAGAACTTAGCCATGCTTTTGCTGTTTGATAAAGTGTATGGAATAGCTTTCTCTCTGAGACCAAGGAGAGTCACTATTAATACTTCTATAGTCTGATAACAGAAGTCCTAGAGAGTGTAAACAAAGCAGGAAACTAACAAGTAACAGACATAGGAAAGCAAAGATATAAAACTCTTTTGTCTTCAGTTTTTCTAGAAATATTTGTTTAGTATTTGAGATCCTGCATAGACATTCATCTGTTCTTCTCCCAAGTGCTTGTTTGTTTTGGGAGCAAATGCGTAATATTTATTTCATCATGATATTCACAGAAATTAATAGTTTTTTAAACTCATTTTATTTGTTAAACATGTCTAAAAGTCGCCGAAACCGGTTTGGCTCAGTGGATAGAGCGTCGGCCTGTGGACTGAAAGGTCCCAGGTTCGATTCCGGTCAAGGGCATGTACCTGGGTTGCGGGCACATCCCCAGTAGGAGATGTGCAGGGGGCAGCTGATCGATGTTTCTCTGTCATCGATGTTTCTAACTCTCTATCTCTCTCCCTTCCTCTCTGTAAAAAATCAATAAAATATATTTAAAAAAAAAAAAACATGTCTAAAAGTCAGAGAAACCTTCACTGAACTATTTGAATAGTTTTTTGTTAGTGAGTGTTTTTAACAAAACTAAAAATTCTAAGTTAATTAGTAGAGGCTCTCAGAAAATGGGTTTTAACTTCAAATGTATACTTCTGCTCGCAGATATAAAAATGCTTGAACATTCTCAGAATATGTTTATAGAATTCTTTTTTTTACTCGGCAATACTAAGGCAGGCTTAAAAGTGATTCACGAGACATGAGAATATTTATTTTATGTAGGTTTGTTTTGCAGAGAAGGTTTGGGGTAATACAAATCCATGTTTTATGTAAACACCTTTTTAAATATTTCATTGAAAGTATCCTGTGTATTTTTTGTGATGGAGAGATATAAGGGACATCTTCAACATAGTTGTCTTCATACTTCTGTATCAGCAAAATTATTTGGAATGAGTGAGCATGTCTTAGATGATCCCTGAATTTACAACCCATTAAGAACATAGATAATATTTTTAATTTTGTGAAGTTAGTTTTATCAAAACTTGAGATTTTTATAATCATGTTTAGGTATACTCAGGTTAATTCTAATTAAATATCAATGAGTAAATGTAAAAATAAAAATCTTTGGCATAAATAATTCAATTCTTTCCAATTTTAAGGTGTCTTTATTCTGGAACTGAGTGAACTATTCTGTGATTCATCTAGTTTTCTCGACAACAGTAATGGCTCCCACCCAATCAACTGAATACCTGCAAGATCTGATGCAACTTAAAAATAATACATCTATCATGCCTGGCCAGTGATATCTGCTGCCCAAATGATCAGATAGGTTTGCCAATAAAGCAAGGTGTGTGTGTGTGTGCCTGGGCCTGTGTGTGTGTGTATGTGTGTGTGTGTGTGTGTGTGTGTGTTATGAGTATTTCTATTGTCAAAAATTTTGATTTTAGGTGGTGAATACATAATGCAATATACAGATGATGCATTATAGAAATGTACACTTGAAACCTATATAATCCTATTAACCAAATTTAATAATATTAAAACATATTGTATATACAATTAATTGGAAAAAATTATGTTGACACTTAGACATAGCCACTACAGATGGGATATGACTTCAAAGGATATTACCTAGCAAATGTTAAGACTAACATTTTTCAAGAATGACTGACCTTTGGGCAAAAATAAAGCTTATGTGCTTAGATTTCATCAGTCTGTCATTAACATGTATTATTTTTAATATGTGCCCAATACAGAAAAAAAAATCACTATTTTACCTGTTTATGTTGTTCTAATAAAATGAATGGTACCTACACTCAAATAGATCCCTCATATGTATGTGAAA